TTTGCAAAGCGAAATAGTAGTTTTATCAGTCTAGGAAGTGATATAGGCATTTCTTTGTTGAGCCAGATATGTATATTTTACCTGCCTAATTGTTATGTATCGTAGTTAACCCCTTGAGCTTGTAATTCTGTTTCTTTGGCAACCACATTACAAGCCTTACCCATTTGTTTGAATGGACTATCTATTTGAACCTTTTAACCTCTCATAAGCACTTGAATTATGATGATTTATATAAAAGTTAAAGTGTGGGGTGGTCTTTGTGCTATTTTTATTATAGCACAAATAGAAGAATTGTGCTTTAGTATGTTTGAACTTGAAACCTCTTGTGAACATTATCCACAGCTACGGTCGTTGTGGGCACTGAACCCTTTTTTTATGCCCTTTTAATTTCTATTTGAAGTTGCCGACAACTCTAAATGCAAGAATCTTTGGTACTTTTTGTGTCTTTTTGGCGGACAAGAATCTGTTCTTGATCCCAAAGCAGAAATAAGCAACATTTAAATTGAGTGTGTGTAGAGTTACAATAGAAGAAAATAAAAATTCTTGGAGTCTTTACTGTTTCGTGTATTTTTCTTTTCTTCACTTATTTCATCTTAACATTTTTACTCTTATATTACCAAAAAAAAAACATTTTTACTTTTATATTTTTCTTGAATCGAGGGTCTATCGGGATCAACATATCTTCCTCACACAAAATAAGGGTAAGATCTGCATATGCCTTCACCTTCTTCAGATCCCACTTGTCGATTCACACCGAATATGTTGTTAGAGTTTCTAGTATGTCCAAATGCCTTTTTAAGTGTGGCAAAAAAAATATGCATTTAAGTAGTTCAGTCGATGTTATCAATTTTCTAATATTAATTAAGAGAATTTTATAGTCCAGTAGGCAATAGAGATGATTTCAAGATGAGTCATCTTTAGTAAGAATAATATTAATTTTCGCCATATTCTTGAAGACAACCTTTATATAATTGAACAAGTAGACAACTATGGAGCCCCACCATGAGGAGTAGATGGAGAGTTTCATTAAGTGGTGTATCTGCACTCTTTGGACTAAAATAATTTACACACATATGACAATAACGGTTATGTCTCAATCTGAAAAATATTAATGAGAAATGAGAAGTTTACATTGTCGACCTCAAAATTATTCAGAAATTATAATAATATATAATTCTTTCGTTCACTTTTACTTATCCACTATACTAAAAACACATTTTCACTTTTACTTGTCCGTTATATTAAATCAAGATAAAGGCAATCATTTTTTTCTGTTGGTAGAGCACTCAATGGGCTAGGGCGGCCTCATTTCGCCTTACCAACCCAAGAAATTCCGAATACATGCCTAGATCATTTGTACAGACAGACAGGGAAATAGCCCAGATCGTACGCTAAGGTCTATAAGCAATCACTTAGTGGAAAAGGAAGTGACCGAGCGATGACAACCAGGAGGTGGGCTTGAAAGCAGCCATCCTTTGAAGAAAGCATAATACCTCACTGGTCTAGCTCCATGGCACCGAAAATATATCAGGGCTCAAGTGATTCACCGAAGCGACGAGACCTTGAAAGCTACTTTTGTTATTCAATCTGTAATGTTGTAATAAACAATAAAACAGTAAACTTTCTGGAAAAACAGAAACAGAAAGTTAGTAGAACTAGAACGACAAAATAAATTCTGGAAAATAATATAGGAATAAATCGAGCTCACTGAATACACATTGTGTCCTTAAGGAAATTATTCCCCTCAAGTACCCGAGGTGCTAGAATATATCCTCCCAGGATAGAACGATTTAACTCACCAACGTATTGGTACCAAAAATTCTGGTGAACGGCGAACTACTCAATGGTCGTAAAACACACTGAAAAATATCGTACAGAAGAAGAAGAAGATAATCAGAAAATTTAGTAAGTAAAAATTCTGGGATACAAGGCATATTTATAGACATTTGGCACTGTTTCTGAAAAGGTTTGCAACCTTTCAGAACAGCCATAGCTGTTGGAACAGGTGGGGATATTGCGGGAAAAATTAGAAAACCGACTTAAAATAATACGGGAAAGAAAACGGACAGGACCGGTCGCGGGTCATGGGTTATTTCTGAACTTTCGTTAATTAATTAAATTAATTAATTAAATAATTGAAAGGAATTTTGTCCAAAAAGATTAATCAATCAACCTTTGACCGAAGCCGAGCGAGCGACGACGACGGCGCGAGGCTTGCCTTCTATCTTAACTCTTTAAGAGCTAGAAGAAGAGCAATTGTATATATACCCATCAAAAGTCTTTTCTTCCTCCAATATGGGACAATGTCCCTTTGCGAAGGATGGAAACTCATATATTTCATTTTCACTCCATTTCTCATTCACCCTCTTTAAGCTACACCAAGCTTAAAGCCCAACAACTTTTTCAATAATTAGTAGCGGAACATTCTGTCAATCGGGAATGGTGTTTGGTTACAGGACCTGCTACCCTTATTACTAACTACTCGTTTCTCAAATTATTTCTCAAGACTTTGAAAAGCTATCATTATTATGGGTAAATTTTAAAATACATACTTTTTTTTTTAAAAGGGAATACAAAGTCAAAAGTAAACAACTAAAACTGTACAGAAGGAGTACACGATAGCCAACTGCCCACCTCCATAGACACATATATAGTTGAATTCATTTAAAGGTATTATTATACTATGTTTACACGCATTACTATAATTGACTAGTGTAATTTTTCACATTTACTAATATAAAATTCTAAATCCGACTCTAATAAAACTTCTATTTTCTCTACATCTTCTTTGGACATCAAAAGATAAACATAAAAATAAAAATACGACTAGATAACACCCACAAGGCCTCCTCACACCCCCCCCCCCCTCCTTCCCCCACCAACCTACACCAAACTCCAATGAAAACAAGAGGTTACATAGTACAAATCAAGCCCAATCAGAGATGAGGCTGCCACGTTTTTGCTTTTATCCAATCTCAATTAAATCCTTTTTTTTTTTTCCTCTTTAATTTTCTTGTGCTTTTCTTTGTAGTCAAAATTGAGCAGCAAAATAAATTTCTTATGCTTTATTGGGTACCTTTTTATTTTCATTATGCTTCACGCATAAAATCACTTCTTGGTTGCTAAACAAAATTGACCATTTAGATGTTGACTTGCACCAAACTTTTATGCTTATCGTTTTTATCTTGCTCTGTTTTGTAACATTCCAAATCTTTCTTATTCTGTTAACAAGAACAAAGATTAACCTATTAACAAACTAGCAACTTACAACTATGTCCTCTGATCACGCCCAACTATGCCTTATAAAAAGGACAAAGCGATCGTTGTAAATATAATCCGGTTTACAAGTCCGGAGTCGAACCCCACAAGGAATTAACCTATCAATCACAGCTATTGAACTCACAGAAATTCACGTATTCAATCTTCGGAGATATTTATGTAACAGATTGGATGTTTACTAACTGAATATTACGTAATGAAAATGCAGTAATTATGAACGGTTTGTAAACAAGAATTGGAATGATCTAAGGTTCTGATTTTCCCTATTGTCGGAATCCTTTTCGCTATGTTTGTTATAAATTTGCCTAAGTCTTCTCTATCGATCATGAACACTCTGACTGTCGTAACTCTCTCCCGAGTAATTACAACAATATACTAGACATATTCTCCTGAATTACGCTAGCTAACCTTAATTACAGCTCACTTAGATCGCACTCAAGGTTTCGTTATCCCTAGTCCCACCTTTAAACCCTTCGTATTGATCCCTCATATACGTTAGGAGTGATGATGTTCAACAACTACATAAATATGCACTCTCTCCCGAGTAATGCACACTAAATAGGAACAGTTAATCGAGAGCCCTTCAATCAACAACAATAAGCATGTAGTTGAACAAATAGAGAGAATACTATGGCAAATCTATATTAACATAATGAGAAAATCATCCTTCAACAGGTTCCATCAAAACTCTAGATTATGAGTTTAGCTACTCATACTCATAGTACAAATATTCAAAGTAATTTGCATAATTAAATTACAGAGTAAGGATAAAGAGATGTAGAAATCAATGTTTCTAACTCCCAAGTAGTGTTCCACGAGCTATTCTTGCCTCCGGTTCCAAAAATCCTCAAAGTGGCGTAAACTGCGTCTATTTATATGTTTGGGACAAGCCCTAAACGTGTAGGTCAACTTCTAGTCAAGCCAGGAAACAATTAAAACCTTCAAAACTCGGACTGGGCCTGGCCTTAGACATGGCGTCGCCTGGATAACGCCAGCCTAGGCCTGGCTTTAAGCTGGCTTCGCCTGGATAACGCCTGGCCAGGCCTGGCTTTAAGCTGGCCTCGCCAGGCTAAAGCCTGGTCGAGCTGGCTTTTGCCCGGCTTCTCCTTTTCACCGTTCTTGAACGCACTTTCGACGTTTAAGCATCCCTTTAGCTCTACTTTCATTTCCGATGCACCTACACATAAAATAGCCTCCATTACGCTCAAACAAAGTGTATTTTAACATTAAAGCATGTAAAACGCAAAGCATATAATGTGTAAAAACCATGAATTATAGCCACACATCACCTCTACCCTGCTGATTCACAATCGATATCTTTCAAGAATGATAATTTACAAGTTAATCTCATTATGTTATTGTAGACCCTTTGGTCCACTTTTGCTGTTTGTATCTGGAAATTGGATCAAACGAACATGAATTTTCTTGACCACAAATATATTCTATCACTGTGATGTTAGTGTTTGAACTCTTCAATGCATATAAGGGTCAATTGATCTTCAAAGTGGGACCTACCTTGCACTTTTTATTCTCCACCTTCAGTAACAGTCCACCTGGGCAGCCATGGCAATTCGAGGAAGGACACAACTCATGTAATAATTCGTACGTAATTAAATAAGAAAAGAACACTACAAGATAATTTATACAAAAACTGGTAAAATGGGTAATATAACGTTTGGCAGCAAACCTCATCCAGAAGATACAAGAGCAAACACAAAACATAAAAAGAACAAATCCAACATTTACATAACTTTTTTTTATTGATCTTTTCTCAGATATCATTCTACAAATTATTTATCTAACAGTCGCCGTGACAAAGTGAAAGGGAAAAAAATGAAGACATCAAACGGAAACAACACCAATTCTACTCGGCACTTTCACTCGGGTGCCACCAAAAATATTTACAGCAACTCCTATCAAAGCTACTGCCGCCCTATATAACTTCTTTAAGGGAGCATATCCATAAAACCGACCTAAGCTAGAAATCCTTCACTTCAAGCAGCCTGCAGGGAGTTATTTAGGTATTAACTCATCCTAGCAGTGATATGTCGTAGTACCTTGATCTCAAAACTGGCAAGAAGTCCCAAGCCTTTGTATCTGCCTCTGACCAACAGTTACTGATTTACGCTTGTCGAAGGCTGGGTACAGCAGTTCTTGGAACTTCTCTAGAAACAGACGCCACTCTTCCTCATTCATATCTGCTAGCTTCAAAAAGCTGGAACTCACAGGGAGCTGCTCATTCGCGCTCCTGTGGCCGGATGATGCTCTGGCTAGATCACCATTTTCTGGTTTTGTTCCTGAAAAACTAGGATGCTTCTGCTTCCTGTCACCTAAAGTAATATTCTTGAGGGACATTGATAGTTTTGACTCCGAGACATTCTTTGCGGGTGCAGGAACATAGTTAAAGCTTGTTTCCTCCTCTTCACTCTCTTCTTCCTCAATGCTTTCGTCTAGCTTAAAGAGTTGAGTGCGGCAATTTCCGCCTCCAAATGGAAACTGAAACGGGTTCCTGGTCATGAAGTCTTCAGAGGCCATATTTGGACTAAAGTCATACCCTGCATCCTCGTAATCTATGTCAAATTGGAACTCCTCCTCATCAACTTCAGCCTTTGGAGATAAAATCTCTCTCTCAGCAATCATCCTTCTCGCCTCCAAACAAACTACTTCAAGCTCGCTGGGTTCCTCCTCCCCACGCCGAAACTCCCTGCTCATCATCTCACCAATCTCTGCAAGGCAGAGCCCATAAGCAGCAGCTTCCTTGAGGAAAATGGTGGACAGGACCAAGACACGAAGGCAAGCTTCGCGAATCATAGGGAGCTCACTTTTCAGCATCTCAGAGTCACGAACAGGATCAAGTTTCTCTATGTACTCCAGTTCATCCTCTGAAAAAGGAATAGATGCCTGAGGCCAATGAATCCACTCAAAATATGGGTCTTCCAACGTTTCTGGTAGACAGAGGCCATGATCAATGGGAATTAACTCTACTTGACCAAACCTCCCAACACCATCAAGCTTCCTAACTAAAAGATTTCCTGCATGCCTATCTGTGTTAAAAATCCTGATGTCTAATATCCCAATCCGATGAACAGCAGCAACGGGGAAGCTGGAGGTTCCATAGTCGCTGGCATCAAAATCATGAGGGATGAATTGTTGAAAAGATGCAATCTTGCTGACGAGTTTCTTCTTGCTATGAGGCTTGTCTCCATTAACACCATCATTGACATTAAAAATAGAATGAGTGATTTTCACCAATGCAGTGGCCGGCACATTAGCAAAATGATCATAGTCTAGAAGATATGCAGCAACCTCCCTAAACCCTGTTTCTCCAACTCGAACTGAACGCTTCAAGCCTGGCTGTCCAAGAGCTTTGCCAACAAAGCCTTTAGGATTGTTTGGGGCAAATGGTTCTTCATCTGTTGGCTTGACAATAGCAACACTCTCCCCTCTGCTGTTTCTAAAGAAGTAACCCCCACCAAGTCCACTATGGACGGGAAGTGGCTCAACTCCATTCTTGATAGCCTTCACAATCTCCTTGACAAGTAGTCTTGTCTTGGCAAAGACACAAGAGTTCCCCAGTATTTCAATAGGACCACTCTGATCTCTCTGTTGGACATCCCTCCCAGTAGGTGAAAGACACGGAGTAGATGAACTTCTATGCATAAAATTCCTCGTCAACAGTAGAGGAGAATCATTCCGAACAGAACTAAGGTCGTTCTTCAACACCACATCACCAAATGTCAAAGAACTCTCCTCAGTTGGAACATTGAGGGCAATCTGCAACCTCCTCTTCACAGTATGAGCGTTGTCACTACGGTCCAACTCCATCCCCAGTACACAACCAGTGTCAGTTTGGACAAAAACACGCCTCCTCCCAGTAGATTTCCTTTCCATCCTACTGTTTCCATGGTACTCTCCACCACCAAGAGGACTCTTGAATAGTGCCACAGCCATCTGGGTTTGAACAGGACTGTCCAAGTTAGGAGACATAAAAGGACGAGAAAAACCGTCCTAAGTCACAACCAGCAAAAAGAGATGGCGGAAGAAGAGAGCTTCCCCAACACTCAACTCAGAAGCCAATTGTGTGCAAAAAAACAAATGATTCAATCCACAAAAGATCATCAATCAGCAAGCAAGGAATCAAAACCAACCCCCAAAGATGTCACCACCGAACACAAGAACACTATCAATCACTCGCACGTCAAACAACCAACAGCGAATGATCAAGATCCCAAATGTTACATCGAAAGAGCCATCTGATGATCCGGATTATAGCAGTGAACCACAATCTGTGAACACGCACAAAACTTAATAAATCTACGCACTTAATCAAAAATTGCAATAACACAAAACTAATTAGCAATTGAAAACCACGAATTAGCAATTTAAAACCAATACATCACATTAAACAGATCTTTGACAAGATCTTCAAGAATCGGAATGAACAGTTCTTTAACACTAAAACCTACGTTTCCTTGATACGAGTTATAGCTAATAAACTCGTTAACATATACTATTTCACAATCAATGCGAAGCTATAAATTACTTAAAAAACTGAAACTCGCTTCATACACGTGTTTACACAATAAAATCTGTAGAATCTAATTTTTTACTGAGCAATATCACTCTTGAAACTCACATTTTTATCCAATAACAAAAACACACAAACTCTTAATGTCGCAATTACTTACATAGTCACATTTACTACTCGATACTCTCATTTTCATTCAATTATTAAAAAAATAATCCCGAAAGAGAAAAAAAATCTAAAAAAAATCAATTATTCCGCTGAAAATCTCTGTTCTTCCATCCTCACAAACAAATTTAAATAAAACTGACAAGTGAATAACGAATCAAAGAACAACAAACACATAACAAAAAGAAATACAATCTACAAAAAAATCGAATGAATGAAGTTGATTAGACAACTCACCAGACGGCCAGATCTGAGAGATCGCGCCTCTGTTTGTCTCTCTTTTTACGGCAACCAGTACACCGCCTTTCTTTCTCTTCACCACCGTAGTAAGAAGATATCAATACAGAGATGTAAACCGTCTGATTGAGAGAAATACGATTCAACGGCTACTATTTGATTTCTCTCAGTTTGAAGCCACCAAAAAACCTTTTCTTCTTCTTTTGCTCTGCTCCTGTGTGGCTTATGCTTTCTTCTCTTTTGACGAATCTCTCTCTCTCCTTTTATATATATATATCTCTGTCTTACATATTCTGTATCTATATATCCAACACTGGATTTAATATTTTCCAATTTTTATTTTGGGGTATTTGCTCTTTTAGTACCTCAAGTATCAATACATTCTGTTTTGATTCATCTGATTTACTTATTAACTATTACATCATTTAATTACGATAAAAATTTATTTGTACTAGGTATTTGTATTAAACTAGATAATTGCTATAGCTAAGTGATTAATAATATAACAATAAATATAGTATAATATCACAAGTTAGGTCTTGAGAGGATAAAGCACACGCAGACCTTACCCCTATCTTATGAAGATAAATATGTTATTTCGATAGACCTTTGGCTAAAAAAAGCATAATCACAACAATATTGAAAAAAAATACATCAATGAAGAGTCATGAAAAAAGAAACAATAACAAAAAAATTGTAGTAACAGCAACAAGATAATAAGATAACCGAATCAAAAGAAACAAGCGGTAGTACTGGAATACTAAGTATAATAATATTAATTTAATAGTATAGAAATACATATTAAATAAATAAAATTAAATATGAAAAGTATATTTGCAAACACGTGTTATTTATCTATTAGCACTTTGATATAAACGCCTACTTTTGGAAAAAAAAAAAAAAAAAAGAAAAAAAACCTCTAATCACCAATACATTATGTTAAGTTTGAATTCTTTACTCCATATATAAAGATAATATAGTTAAAATTAGTCGGTATAACATAGTTCTTATGTAAATACATCAAAAACACATAGTACTTTATTTAATTGATGTTAATATGTAGGTGAAATTAGAATTTATCTATAATTTAGGGGCCAAAATGCTATTATCTCCTTTTCTTTTCTTCTCAGAATGTTCGATTAACTCTGGTTAGCTGGAAGTAACGTTTAGTGTGAACTATGGTTTGATCTCTCTAACTAGCCGTAGTTAAAGCGGCAGGCTTATTTATTCACGGAAGGGTCTAGAATGTTGAATCATTAGCCGTTGGATTATAATAGACGGCGAGATTTTAAGCTCCAATGAATGAAGGTTAAGTGGAGGTAATAGATTGGAAGGTGACGTGGCGGGTCTAGCGAAAAGGGTAGTGACAAGTGACAAAACGAATCGGGTGGAGATTTTACCATTTCAACGCCAGTGAGTTACTGAAATACCGGAAATGCCCTTGGTGAAAAGTTATGGGGGCAAGATATTTTCTTCATGGGTGGGTCCATTTTTTTATGTGGGTCCACCTTTTCACTTTAATCTAAATTTTACTTGATATAATCAATGTTTAGGTAGTTAAACGGTGTAGTCTGTTGTTTGACTAAGAATCATAACCTCCTTTTAATATTTTTAATCGTAAATTTATGAATTACTAAATTTTTATGTGGTGAAATTTAATTGGTATAGAATAATACTACTAATATATTTGTAATTATATATAAATAAGAGAAATTTATGTGCAAACAATTATCATGCATATTTGATGTAAAATTTCTGTGCCAATAAAATATTTCTTACTTATAACAATTTAAAAAGATTTTAAAAGGATATTCACGTAGAGATAGAACATACTATTTTGCTCGTAGAGTCTGTACTCAATATTTCATCATTCTTTTCAGAAAGAGATTAGACTTAAAACAATAACGTAAGGACTCTTGAATAGGAGAAGGCAAATGTGAAAGAAAGGAGGAAATCTAATAAAAACAAGGATCCATACATATGAGTAGTTTTAAAAGCAGAAATGTAATTAGTAGATTTTCCGCAAATAATTATAGTCAATAGATAGTCGAATGTATCTCTTTTCCATTCTTGCAAGATCAGTATTATTATCATACTTTTTATACTTAAAATCTTTGGGTTCGATTTCTTTTCATCTTATTTTGCTGTTATTATAATTTGTTGTAACTGTTCCATTTTTTATTTTTACTTGGGCCGGCGATCTATCGAAAATAGTATTTCTTACTTCACAAGGTAAGGGTAAGGTTTATGTACACATTATACTCCCTAAATTCACATGTGAAATTATACTGGGTTAATTGTTATTATTGTAATAATAATTCGTAGATTCAAATTTTGTTTAGACAACGATTTTGTGAATTGTTTTTTTTTTTTTTTGGTTTTAAAGGATAGGAGGGGTTGATATTATCCTCGATAAACAAATGGGCATTTTATTGGTCAAAGGATTGAAATTTCAGACATGAATGGGAGGAGAGTCATTGCAGTCACGTTCGTATGATTAAAGAGGAAAAAGGGTTTTCCCATCCCAATCAAAAGTACAAAGATAATTGGGGTCATAATCATGAGGAATAGTGTGTCAATATCATATCGTTTCAATCCGATCCTCATCACTATGGTTCCAAAGAATTACATTTTCATCAAAAGCTTCCAATAATTTATTTTTCTCCAAGAATTCGACATCCATACAGGCGGTCACGAGTTCAAGCCATGAAAACAGTCTTTTGCAGAAATGCAAGGTAAGACTGCGTACAATAAACCCTTATGGTCCAACCTTTCTCCGGATCTCACGCATAGCAGGAGCTTAGTACATCGAAATGCCCTTTATACAGCCTAACTAAGAAGGCTATTACATTTAGGGCGAGACAAAATGAGCATGCATGAGCAATTTGTTATCCAAGCCGATTGGTCAGACCATAACCGCTTCACTTATTATTTTAGTATTAGTCGCCTATCTGGAAATGAAATGGGAGGTAATAGAAAGAACATGAAGGCTAGCGCTACAAGGTTTGATCTTTTGCGAGAATAGGCTTGTGAAGAAGCAAGCTTAAAGTGATTTAATTGCACGTCGAATAAATCTACTAAAAGTGATAAAGTGCACTTACATAAACGTCTTTTATTTTAAAATTTGATCGAAATCTCAAATTAAATGTTGATGAATTTTATCATCCCACAAGCTTACGTTGTAATTCCGAAGAAAACTCTACGTTACCCTTGAGAATAGGGATGGAAAGGAAAGAAAAGAAATTACAGCTAAATAAAATGTAAAAGAGCAATTGTTTTGGGGAAAAAAGTACTTGTATCAGTCTTTTCTAGTTTCCTTTATTAAACCAAACACGACACAAGGAAAACAAAAACTTTTCCTCTTTCTTTCCTTAGTGACAATGTTCCTTAAGTCTGAGGAAGGATCGCATGACGTAGACAACCTATGCTAGTGCAGGTATTAATGGCTGTTTTCACAACTCGAACCGATTATTGAATTAGACAAGATTAATCATTAATGTGAATTAGTGTGAACATTTGAAACCTTCTTTTAGGAAGAATTTGGTAGATGCATTTTTCATGCATTTACATTGGATGATCACACATAATATGATGTCATGCATGATATTATTAAGGCCATTTCCCTTCTATAAAAATAGCAAAGGATTTGTTCAGTTGTAGATATCTCTCACTTGCCTTCTTATATCCTAAGACATTTGAATTTTCTTTCTCTCTTGTAGTATTTAACTTGTATTTTTGGAGTGAAATAAAGTTTGAGTTGATTGTGTCCGAGAACTAGGCAAAAATCAATTTTTGCCGAACCTCGTTAATTTCCGGTGTTCTTTTTATTATTGTCTCATTTACTATCTATTAGCTACCTTTAGATATAGTACTTGTGATTTATTCAATCTCTATATATTCGGCTTCCGCAACAATTGATATTAGAGCCAATGTCTATCTTAGTATGCTCTATGGTTGCAGCATAGTTTGAACTTCCACATTAGAAAAGAATTACTTTGGTGTTCTGTACTGTCAGCAAATAAATAGTATCTGTAGCAAAAATGGGAGATAATAAAAATGAAGAGTCCATATCGGGTGTCAGTAATACGTCGTTAGCATCTTCGCTTATGACAAGAATTATGTCAAATGCGAAATTTGCAGTTGAAATTTTTGACAGGTCAGGACATTTCGGGATGTGGCAAGCTAAGGTTCTTGATGTCCTTTTTTAACAAGGGCTAGATATTGCCATAGAAGAAAAGAAACCAGACAATATCGGAGAAGGAGATTAGAAGATTATCAACCGCGTTGCTTGTGGTACCATTCAATCTTACCTCGCAAGAGAAAAGAAGTATCCATACACAAAAGAAACATCTGCAAGTAAATTGTGGAATGCATTGGATGATAAATTCTTGAAGAAAAACAATCAAAATAAACTTTACATGAAAAAAGACTGTTACGCTTCATATATGTTCCTGGTACTACAATGAATGGTCATATCACCAGCTTCAATAAGTTAGCGACAAATTTGCAGAATATGGACGTGACTTTTGGCGATGGAGATATGGCTTTAATATTATTAAGTTCACTTTCCGATGAGTATGAGCACCTCGAAACTACTCTACTTCATAGGAATGATGAAGTATCTCTCAAAGAAGTTTGTTCTGCCTTGTAGAGCTATGAACAAAGAAAGAGAGAAAAACAAAAGAGTGGAGAAGGAGAAGCATTGATCATCAGAGGTCGTTCTCAAAATCATATGAGTACAAAGAAAGGAAGATCCAAGTCAAGATCCATACCCAGCAAAGATGAATGCGCCTTTTGCCGAGAAAAGAGGCACTGAAAGAAAGACTGTCCAAAGTTGAAAAACAAGGCCAAAACCTAACAACGGGAAGGCTGTCATGGACTCAAATGTAGTTGATTATGACGACTCTGATTTCTCACTAGTTACAACTGAGCCATTCAAACCATGTGTTATATGGTTGATGGATTCAGCTTGTAGCTATCATATGTGTCCTAATCGGGACTGGTTCTTTAATTTTCAAGAAGGAGAGTAATAACAATCCTCTTATCGCATATGGTATTGGTTCAATCCGATTAAGAAACCATGATGAATTGATCAGAACATTAACGGATGTCGGTACATACCGGAATTGAAGAAACTTATTTATGTAGGAGCCCAAGAGTCAAAGGGGTTCAAAGTTATTGCAGAAAATGGGGCAATGAGAATATGCTCCAGTGCACTAGTGGTAGTGAAGGGAATTCGGAGAAATAATAATATGTACCACTATCACGGTAGTATAG